GAAAAGAGATTGCTTGATGTTAAGGAAGAAACAGCCCACCCTATGCCCTATATAAAAGAAATTCAACTGCCCTTTTATCTAGTTTCGTAGGTCTTCCCTTGACTGTCCTTTTTAATGTCTTGTATATGAAGATGAAAAGAATTGAACTACAAATACTTTAAAATACATTCAATGGAAAAACAATGTCTTAAACACATGCAAACACCTTGATTGCATTTATAACTGCAGAACACCTCGTACTTCAGTCCTTCAAACACTGACGGCACTGACTGTGAAGCAGCACCCTAGTAATCATCTTACAAGATCACTCTCTCACTTCTTGTTACTAAACTACCTTTTGACACAGCGCAGCAATTTGCTTCTCTATATAGTTTAGAGAGAGCAATTTTACTAAAACACAGCATCAGCTACAGAACAATATACAGCATGCCAAATGGGAATGATTCTCCATTACTCATTTGGGGTGTAACCCCTCCATGTTTTTGTTTTGCTTGTTTTCCAGGGAGGATGGGATGGGGGTGTTAATGATATGTATGAAGAACATTTGCTCTTTAAGGCTATTTAAAATATCTTCACTACTATTATCCATTTCACAGTTTATTTCATTCAGATAACTACCATATGGTCCTCATGATTTATTTCACTTGACTTTCTTGAGTTGTTTTGTAATTCCTCCTTAGAGGCTCTGATTTCTGTTAAGGACACACATTAATCTTGTGTGAGATGGAACATGCAGGAAGAATTTTAAAAACCTTTCCCCAAGTAAAAACTGCTATAAACATGAATTTAACTTTTCTGATGCTGTACTCTAATTGTATCACCTCCTGTCAGTCACAAGGCCTAGAGCCTCACAGATGGCATAGTTGCTCTTAATACATTTAAAATAGCATTAAATACTGCATTATTTAGTCTGCTTGTTATTCCTTTATCCCTTTTGTTTCTAATTTGTTACTTTTTACAGTAGAAAGCTTACTCTGATTACGTTGCTCTAGCCATATTTCCACTTTAAATATGCTTGGTTTCTTACACATAATGAATTTCTGTACTTACACATTATGAATTTCTCTACTTACACATTTTCACTAACTTTTACCTATTAAGAACTTTTCCAGAGATGTATGACTTGTATAGTTTTCTTAAGAGGACGAGCACGTTTGTGTGAATGACCATAGAACTGGAATTCCAGAGTTCCTTGGTTTGTTCCATGCTGTACTAGAAGCTTACCACGCATCCAGGACCAAATTACTTAGCGCTTTGTTATCTTATTTACCACATTTATAAAAAGGAGAGTAGCATTTCTATGTCGCATTTTCTCCATTTGCAAGATTCAGATTTTACTCTGCAGGAGTAAAACATTTTGTGATCATAAGGTAAAAATGTACAGAAGTATTCCCTAGGTGTAAAGAATCAGACTCAAGGGATATGGTTCTAGTTGCAGCTTTTACACTGCTTTTACCAGCTGTAAAGATGAAAGTAAAATGGCAGTATTAGTGATTATTACTTACTATAATAGCAAATTTTACATAGTCTATCACATATTAAAATTATATGTCTTTCTCTTTTGTATTGCTAAATCTGTAGTACAATTAGGAAGAAATAGATTTTCACATCCAGAGAAAGAAAAGATTTTTTTGAAAAATCCCACAAACTCCAAGAATCCTAGAAATTTACAATAAGATATCCCTTTCAAACAGAATATGATAAATAGGCTAAATGGTTTAGTGACTGAGAAGTTAGATGAGGTGTCATATTTAGAGCCTAGACTTCTCCCTGTCTTCATCACCGACAACTGCTTAAACAAGCCATTTCAATTTTCATGCACTTCCAAATATTCTGTCCGCAAAATAGATCAAATTTAGATTTAGTGCATTTCAACAGATCTTTGCATTTCTAGAACTGTTTCCAAATGTAGAACTTATAGCAAGCATGTATAATAAGTTCATTTTACAGATGCTATAAACAGGCATATAAATGCTATGACTTTCTCTGGGACCAGCTGGTGTAATGAAGGAGACTTACATCTCTGATATTCAGGATGCATACTCTTCACAAGCGTACCTAGAGTTTACTACACAACCAAGCCATTATCATAGTTTTGTTTCTCCCAGAGGAATTCAAACAAATAACATTTCCTTAAAATAATTTTTTGCATTTCAGTAAGCTTAAGTCAATCGATGGCAAAAAAGTGGGAGCACAACCCTATCTTCTGGTTTCCAGCTTTACGCTCACTTCATTACTGAGACAGGTTCACTTTTTACCTCATCTTATGGATCCTCATAATAGTTGAGGATGGGTTTTTAATCAGTTTAAAATTAATTCAATAGATCAAGAATTACTTTTGTAGCTGTTAGTTGCTGACAGTTACTTGCAACAGCGTGACATTCTTTTGTTGCACACTTCAGAAGAACTACAACTCTGTAAACTATGAGTCTTCAAATACATTTACCTGTCAAATCTAAACAAAAAATATGGATACATTCAGAACTATTTCTGCTGAAAAACAGCAAGTTCCTTGCCGAATTTCAACTTTCATCCTCTCCCCCTTTCAGCTGTAGAGGTGTTCAAAGTAAGGTCACAATGATTTCCTTCTTTAATGAGAGATATTTCCTTTTCATTCCTCTTCACAGGGAAATAGATGAATTGTTTTTAATCAAACTTTCAACCCTTTAACAAAGTCTCCTTTGACTGAAAGCAATTCTTGAAAAGTGTAGGCTTAATAGGCTTAAGTTACAAAAAGTTCCAAGTTACTGGAAGCAGGGGGTCAGAATCTAACCTTTCATACAGTGTTCAATGGATCAGCAAGAATTTTCAGCAACATGAAAGCCAACATAACAGCTCCAACACTTTCTTGTTACTTTATGTTGGGGGGAAAAAAGAAAAAAGACCAGCTCCTAAAGCTCACAGTTCTGGAATAAACGGCCCTTCCACCTCTGCTAGCAAGAGTAAGAGATGCACAGCAAATCCCAAAAAGGGAGACCTGAAACTGGGGAAAAACAACTCTACAGAATCATTCCTTACATCCCTTGGCTCCAGGGAAGTCTGCTGCAGGAATTAATCAGTAGTTTTGGGATCCATAGAAAAGAAACAAGTACTGGAAAACCTCTCTGGAGTACTCCTCACTCAGGCAAGCCCAGAAAGTTTCCAACTCTGAAGTGTTTAGGTTCAAACCTTCCAATGTCAGAAGACTCCAAAAACAGGAGATAGCAGCTTTATGTATTATCACTACAGTTCAAAACTGTATGAACTCAATATGAAAAATGCTAATCAGAGTATAGGTTTACTCTAGCATGTGACTCTAGATGCAACACTCTGGAAAGGATAAAAATCCAAAGGACTGGAAATCCCAAATAAACGTGAGGTGTAAGTACACAAAACTCTGGCAGGCTAAACATTGCATTCAAGCCCCTGCTACACAGACTAATTTTATGCTACCAGAGGGATGTTACAAAGACCGGAAATGTTCTGGTTGTGGCTAGGCATAGGAACCTCTTCACTGATATACAGTCAGTATATACAGCAACATTTCATATGCCTATGTGGCTCATGAAAGGTACAGAAAGGAGAGTAGTCAGACAGTACTCTAAAGGTCCTTAGAAACTCACTCCAGGTGATGTATATCAGAACAATTCCAGAGTGCTTCATCCAAAGCCATATCTCAATCCAGCGCCAATCCATTAAAAGAAAGAGAAGGGTAACTGACTTCAAAATACAACTCAGTGAGCTTCTGCAGCAAGGAAGAGGATTTGAGACATTAAGTGCATTAGGTTAAAGAGATCTAGACAAGCGTGTTTTGTGCAGAATGCCATACTCTAATTTCATTCTCAACTCTGTACTTCAAAGTAATTATTTTGAAAAATATAGCCCAAAGTGGGAGTCGGCTTTGGCACTGTCTTTTAATAACATCCATTTGCCTAGAAGACAGTTGATTTTGATTTTTATTTCACTGAAAGGCAAGGGTCTAATGATAATATTAGTAAAGTGAGAATAATACTCCACATAGGCTTTCATATGTTAATCTCTGTGCAAGTGGAAAATCACAGACAGCAGTTCAAACAAATTTTAACTTGCCTTTCATTCTCAGAAACATGATTTTCCCCCTTTCTACCCATGTTAACACAGTAAAGCACCTCTCAGAATATTTGTGAAACCTGCATAACATAGCCAAATAAGTTATGGGATCAAATTTTTCAGGTCTTAGAAAGCATATATTCTTAAAAATAAACAAAAAGCAAGATAGATATTCATTATTTCTCTGAAAACAGACTAATATTAACGTAAAAAAACTGGTGAGAGTGATGATGAATTGCATACGTTTCTGTTGCTGCTACTCTTGAGCATTCTAATATTAAAAGCACTTATGAAGTAAACCCCACATGATATAGGTATCAATCTCATTTTGTTGAGAAAGAAACCAAAGCGCAAAAGCATTAAGTGATTTGCCAAGGGTAAACAGGAACCCAAAGAGTCTGGTGCCAGACCTCTAATCCTGGTAGCTTAGTTACAGTCTCTCATATTGTAAATGTGTGAAATTTGAAATATGTAAATGTTGTAAAAATTCTTGTCCTTCTAATACTGAAATCCTAGTTCAAACTCTTAGATGGTGCTCAAATCCATCAAAATAAATGCAATCAGAGTTTTACACAAAGATTATGAGTATGACACTCATATTAAGGCCAAAAATATGCTAGGTATTATGGAATCAGTGTCTTAATCAAAAAAGACAAACTGAGTTGAAGAGTTGGTAAAATGAGTATGAAACAAGGATGCCTGTTGGTGATGAAACAGAACATCCTCAAAACCATTTGTCAGTCAAGCTTCACAAAACATTCCCAACTCTGCCAGTATACCACAATTGGTTTTCTTGTAACTGCCCAAAACAATTAGATCAAGCTAGTAAAAACAATATTATGACAACTGCCTTCAGTTAGCTTTTCTGCTCTCCTAAATTCTTGAATTTGTCAGTAAAGATTTGTACGTGGTGAATTTGTAATGGAACCTACCTTTGCTTTCAGATCAGCGCAGAGCTCCTGTTGCTTTCGTCTGGTATTACCCAATACTACTTCCATCTCATGAGCAGCAGAGGCTTCAGCAACAGCTGTCATTGCCTTAAGTAAAAAGGCTTTCCTAGCCTGGGTCCAACTTAATATCAAAAGTTTGCGTTGATTCCTAGTGAAACGATAACGATCCCAAGCTTTCTCATAAACAACCTACAAAAGTAAAATGTTTCAGAAAGGTTTAAAAACTATGTGTTAATAAAATAAAATAAAAATTTCTAGATAAATAATTCTAGGTATTTTTGCAAACTTCAAACCTCATTGTTTGAATCATTATTTCAACAAAATTCCTATGGAATCCACAAGTTAGGGCCCAGAAATATTCTGTCAGGTGCTAAGTACACTGCAGCCTCCCAATGTTGATAGACAGTGGTAGCATTCCAGCCTTTTCCTCTCTTTTGCCTGTATTAGGTAGCACTTCAGTGCCCCGAGATCCCCACGTTCTTTTCTGAACTACAGTTCTGGAATAGGAATAACTGAAGGAAATGCAATGGTTCCTTCTTACCCTAAATTATAGATACTTTCAGCACATTTCTGGAGGCACTGAGCACTTTTTGCAAGATGAGGTTCCTCATAGCTAATAATGATCATCTTTACAGAAACAGCTCTACTTAAGAGTTGTACAAATATAGTACAGATATGAATTAGCTTTACTTTTTCTTTCCTGATTTCTTTACTTTTTCTTTCCTCTTCTAAAAATAGATATCTCTGATTATCAGCTGCTAGATTAAGCACTCAACACTTGTCCAATAAGACTCTCTTCTTCAGAGGGAAGGAGAAATAAAAGGATCAAAGTTTAGTTATGCTAATATAATGTAAATATTTTACGAATAGATCCTTAGTACTGTTTCAACATTTTGTATTTGTCATGCTAATACACATACTAAGAGATATAAATCCAAAGCAGAATTTGATTCAAAATTTAGAATTTTTAAATTTTAATAAAGCTTCAAAGAATTACGAAAGCCAATTAATAATGGCTGTATTTAAAATACACATACATTACGCAAAGCACACGATTATTTAGCCCAGTTCTCACATGCAGGCGTTCTGAAATCCACAAGAACTTTACTTTTGGTGAAACTATGCATAATCATCACTATCAGCGCTTTGCACTATGTTCCTAACATAAGGAAGTAGTGGTCCTAAATACACGGAGAGGGAAAAAGATTCCAACTTTCTCCACAATACTCTGAAGTGATCTGGCCTTGAACTGGGCTTCTCTAACTGCTATGTGCATTTTCACTATGCAGTATAAAAGGAATCAGTAATCAATCTGAAAGGCATTATACAGATAAAAATAACTTATTGATAGAAGGAGATAACTTTCCATCCTTCCTCATGTACATGTGCCATAGACCAATTAAAATAACAAGCCCTAGACAGTGCAACATTATTGTACTTCCTCATAAAAATAACAACTAGAATAGCATGACATAACTATAAACCCTTACAGCAAAAGCAATGCTAGCAAAGTAATCTAGTGAATCTGGCTATAAGGGTAGATGGAACTATAAAATCTCCGCAGTGCTTGTTTTGCGGAAGTAATAGATTTTCAAGATGATGCATTTTAAAGACAGAGACATCCACTCTTCCTTGTACAAAATAAAATTTCTTTTAGAATTCAGAAATTTTACTATAAAAACGCTTTGATAATTCTTTAATACAAATGCTCACTATACACCATATAGAAGAATGTATATAATTCATCTAGCATTTAAGACTACTGACCAGATCATGCCTAGATTTATGAGGAAGATATCTCTGCAACACATCGAGGTACAAAGTCCTCCTTCTCTGAAGATCACTTGGATACTGATTGATAACAGTCTGATAAACCCACTGATCGTCTTCTTTCCAGTTGATGTTCCTATAGAAATTCAAAACAATCAGCTCCAATATAATTTAAAAAGGAGGTTGGATCTGATTTTTATTTTAAGGCCTAACTTCTAAGTGGGCTTGATGACACCACCCTAACTCTGCAAACTTGATGCTGGATCAGAGCTGAGAAATTTACTGTAATGAAACAAGAAAACACTTATATCACTTTTCTAATGTGACCATTACTGTGTGATTACTGAAGTTAACTGCTCCTTTTCTAACCTGACTTTTTATTAGGAAATAACATCATATTTCTCAGATAAGTTCCATTAATGAATAGTCACACCACATAGAAAATACAAGAAAAAAGGAAGGAGATCAGAACCTACATCTGAGCATCAGTAAAAGGATCTCATGCTGGCATGTGGCTAAATTAGGGGTTAGTTTAAAAACAAGCTTCTGATAGCCAAAGTAGTACCAAAGCATCAGATTTACAACTTTTTAAAACAGGAGGTATAACAATCAGTATACATTTATGTATTTCAGAACATTAGAATAGCAAGATGTAACATAGGACTAAAGCAGAGTAACACAGGATTAGAGATTGGATTTTATTCTCAATCTGAACTTTACCTTGTAGGGATTAGTGCCACGTTTTTGTTTTCAGCATTAATGTAAGAGAAGCAATACTGAGTCAGAACAAGAGGACTGCTGAGCCTAGCAGCCTGTTTTCAAAAGTGGCTAAAAGCCAAAATTAAAGATGATAATCATATGAATCTAAACTCCACCACCACCTTCCTGCAGCCTCCATCTGTTTGCAACTCTTGGACTTCCTCAGCCACTAGTGGTGTCTTGGTATTTAATAGTCTTGTACTCAGTAAGATGTTAGGACCACTTTATCCTTGTGTAGGTAGAAATATCAGGTATTTAAAAAAAGATGACTAAATTGCCTTTATGTTAGATGTTTATATGTAACTAGAACTAGATTCTGTGATACAGTCTAGCGTTATTATTTCTAAAGAGCAAACAGTGAATACTAGCGTTGAAAAAATACTAATTCAGTTTAATATACATTTTCTTCAAAAAATGTTGAGCAGTAAACCACAATATATAATCAACACTGTACAATATTCTGGAACACTGAAGGAGGGAGAAAGAAAACATCCCTAAACCTGTTAGTTTATGAAACTGAAAGCTTAATCTACAAACATATCTCAGGAACGCAAAGATACAATATTCCGTTTTAACAACTAGTTTTCCAAGTAACATACTGTCTGATAAGGATGCCCACTCTCTTGACAACATGTATGTCACCTTTTTTTTTCTGCTGGCATGTTCTGTTGTTACAAGTTGGCAAAAAGTTGAACTGAGGTCCACTTTACTTGGCTTGTCTTCACCTAAGGTACCCATTTTACAAGATTCTTTTAAGCAGACTAATGGCCTTTATTCTTACTTCTGTGATCAGGTAGGAGAAAAGAGATTTAACCTTCTCCCGCCTTTGCGGATACAGTTAGTGATCAAAGGGTCTTTCCCCCTCCTCCCCCTTTAAATCCTTAATCCTCTGACTTCTCATGAAAATAAAATGATTCTTCAGCTTACTATAACAAAAATGTTCAGCACAGAATCATCATTCCATGATCAGCATGGTAGCAACATAATAACCAAATTAAGTGGAAATATTAAAACTCATATTCCTTTGCTGGTTGTGAACACCTTGTTTCTTGTGTACTTTTTCTGTATTTTTTTTTCTTCAAGTAAATATTTAAAGTTTGTCTTGGCTTTATGCAGACAGCAGCACAGTGAAGATGGCCAAATATGAAGAAATTATACCCTACTTCCTTCAATAAACTAATAACGTTAAAGCCATTAGTGCTATAAACACCCCAAAGAGAGAGCTCCGCAGTAGTAATGTTTGCATTCTATATAAGGATTCCATCAAGGAAAGGGTTTTTACGGGGAAAACATAAAGCACTAACTCTTTGCTGGCCTTTTGTTGAGCAACAGTAAAACTGAAGTCACGCACAGAAAATTAGCCAAAAAACCCTAAAGCATCTACAAGTAGCAGTATCAAATCAGAGTACAAATAGGATACACTGATACTTACATCTTTGGTTTTCCTCACAAGAGGAAGGTTTGCAATCTGCATAGCTTTAGAATAAATCACAAAACGTAGCTAGTAAGAAACAGAATTTAACAGCAGCCTAATTTCTTACGAAAAAAATGCCATCTGAATGGAGCAAGCCAACTCATTTAGCATTCACGCAGGCAGCTAGTGTAGCATACACGGTGACATCAATTCGTACCTTATCTGGCTGCCCGCTGGCTTCCCTGTGTATGCAAGACTTCAGATACTTCCTCTGGGAGCATGTATTACAGTACAGCAGCGTAAGCTCGTAAGGAAAAGCTCCACACTGCTTGTGTGGAGACAGATTTAGGACTATGAATACTCTACAATCCTGACTTGGAAACTGATTAATATGTTAATATTAATAAAACAGTGGATGGAACTAGCTTTCCCTCAACAGTCACACGTGAGTTTATAAGAAGAGAAAGAAAAGTGGGTGGAAAGTAGCAATAACATGAAACTGTGTGGCATATCTGAGAAAACATTTCCATTTCTAGGACCCAGCTGTTTGCTACTAAATCCCAGCCATCACGAAAAGAAATGGAGGTGGTTTCCAAATAGGGGAGAGAAAAGATTTAGCTCCTGTAAAAAGTTTATTTGCAGCTACTGACAACTACCAAGCAAATGTTGGAAATAACATAAAATGTGAAATTACATTAGCAAAACAGACATTCTCTAGCAACAAAAGTGTTTCGTTATAGGCAATTGCTTAAATTTCTCAGGAAAGACAATGAATATAGATGTCTGAGATGAGAAAAATAAAAGAATAGTGTCCAAGAGTAAAACGGAGCTAAGGAATCCTTTCAAAGAGGGAATGGTTGCAGCCTTATAACTTTCAAACTGTAGGTGTTGAACAGCAGACTCTGTTCTCCAAAGCCAGCAGCTCCTGAGCTTTGACAGAGAAGCGGTATTGGGAAGGTGTGCTCTGTCTGCAATATTTTCTGCCACTAAGAAAGGTCTTGCAACTGATCTTCAGCAACTAGTGTTCTGAAGTCGTCCCTTTTCTCTAGGGGGAGCTTTTCTATGAAATCAGTTCATTTATTAATTTTAGAATGTGTGTCAATTTGATATTCTGAAGAATAAGTTTAATGAACAAATTAAATATTTTGGGTACATTTTATTTACTTTTTTTTCTTTTGTGCGATTTAAATCTCTTTCACTGCAACGATTCCTACTGATGCTAAACTGAGTGCAAAACTATTTTTATTTCTTATGATAACACCTAGTATTCTTGTCTTTCCACCTAAAATTTTTTGAAAGCAGAAACATAAAACCCTGCTAGTATCCACTCAGGGGGATTACCAGCCATCTCAAGGAAGTGTTTACTAGTTTGTGTGTTGGATTCTGAACTGTCTCTTATAATAGAGGAAGGAAACCAGTAATCCTCTTCTGTGAGCCCTGATATGCTTCAGTTCTGCGCACTTTGAAAAAGTTATTTTAGTGACAGTGAAGAGATTCTTTTGTAAAAAAATAAAAAATAAAAAAATAAAGAATCACAACTCTTGAAACTATCTGCCTCAGATTTCTGAACATATAAGTTTGTGGCCAAATATGGGTCTTCTGCCTACATGAAAAGTAAAGTCTTCTCTTGAGGGATTCTGTTTCTCTTGAAATGAAACAGCACAGGAGTTTTAATATGGCCAAGACAGTATAACATTCAGGTACAACCATTCAGATTCTTATTTCATCCTGAGTGGCTGATAAAATATATTGGAAGACAAGAATTCAGACAGAAAAGACTACCACTGGGGGGGAGAGGGGGGGGACGCAGAGGGAACAAACTGATTTCGTGTATGAGATTTGTGCATGGACTTCCCAGTCATGCAGTACAAAGAACTGCACAGATACCTTGAGTATTAATATTAATATACAGCTGTGAGATTTCATGTTATTATTTATAAAGGTAAGTTCATTCACAGAATGAATCTCAGTCAGGAGACCCATCACCAGCTCATAACCTAGGACAAAGGAAAACCACAGATTCTGTGGACAGAAGGCCCCAGTCTAATGATCTCTCCTGCTTACAGGATACAAGGGCAGGTCTGCCAGTTTCTGCACCTATCTCTGCTTGAGCTGTCACATATCTCTCAAAGATCCCTTTGATTTGTATACTGTCCTAATGGCTACCTAAGGATGAATTGCTATACTACTCAAGAACACGATGGAGAAATTAAGGGTTGTGGAAGATACTCTGGGGAGCTTTATAGCTAAAGCTGTAAGTAGTTTATTGTAAGTAGTCAGTACAGACACACTGATTGCCAACGCCTTGGTTTGTCAGCTGTGCCAAGATTCGTCAGCTGTTCACAGACAAATGGCCAAAGTAAGTGTGATCCAGCCCAGTGTGTTCATAACCATTATGTGCATGAGGAATTTCAGAATATCCTGCCTGATTATATGCGAGATGTCACTTTGCTTAAACTTTTATAAAATTCCAGAAAAGATCTCATCCAAAAAAAGTTTGAAAAGCATCAAGCACATTCTACATTAATATTTAAGCCAATGTCATGCTTCTTCAGTGCCAGGATATTGAGAAATTTTTACAAGGCCGAACACATGACCCAGATTTTAAATGTACTACTTGCTTTTCTTATACCTATCACCTCACTACTAGAAAAGTCTACAATCTTCAACATGGCAATTGTCTTATATTCAGCAACCCTGGGACAGCTGGTTCCTTTGAAACAGATTTACCCAGAGCTAATCTCTGGCTTTACACATTCTAAAGAATACAAACAACTCGCAAGGGAAGCCCCCTCTCCACCCTATAATCCCCAGATACCCTTTGTAATAGCTGGGACAATGTAAACTTGATGCACTGCTGTCTTGTTGAATCTGCAGACAGATAGACCACAACAATACCACCAAGTGAGATATTAACTTCCCTGACTATCAGTTATGTCATTTCTGATTGTTGTACCAGGAACATCCTGTTAATGGGCCTAAAAAGAGGAACTAGATTTACTTGACTGATCCTAATATCCCATTCATTTGAAAGGATGTTGCAGAAGATACAGTGCTGAACATGTAATACTCAATTCATCTTTCAGCTATTTAAGTTATTCAGAAAACCTTAGAAATTATGGCAAAAATAAAACAGGTGATGACTCTCTAAGCACTATAACACATCAATTCCAGCTCTGCAATTTATGGAATAATTTAGGATTTAAGTATTTCCTAGAAACAAAAATGTACATTTCAGTAGCAGAAAAGGAGTGAATTCAGACTGATAAAACATTATAACACTATACAATGCTTGAAAATTATTCTTCAATTTTTAAATGCAATAAACATGTACATTTTAATAGAACTGGAAAATACACAAAGAATATACCAGATCAGAATATTACCTTATCCTATTTTTCTATCTTTGGCAAACGCATATTTTCCAAATTTTTTGTTTAGTTGTTCAGATAAATACCCTGATCCAAATGCACTGCCACTTCTATCAGCTTTTCTTCCAGCTAGATTCCTTTCTCTTCCCCATGTAGATACAATAATTAAATTCCTTCAAAGTAGAACCACACAGGTTTTCATACCTACAACTGAATTTCTTTCCCTTACAAACATGGTATTCTATCTTTTAGTTTCAAAGTGACCTAACTATCACTGCAAAACAGCTAGCTCAATGCCAAAATTCAAATCTAGCATATAAGTATATATAGCATATAATAAAAAGAAGCAAAGCTTGAAAACAGATTTTTCAACTACTTTTATTGACTGTATTGTCTCCATTGACTTAATTATTCAGCAGCACACACATTTTGTGCATCAAGGGATTCATATTTACATAGTTCCCCCCCCCCAAATTCTACTGATCATAAGCATTTTAATTAAAACCACTGGGAAGACCTTGTACATATTGAATGATTTAATATTCATCATGGATTTTCTCACAGAGGTTGTTAAAGTTTCCTCCATAAAAGCAACTATAAGAAAAGATCAGCCACATCAGTAGAGGAAATGCTATAAATTTGCCGCTTGTCGTTTAATAAATTCTATTAGAGTGGGAAGGATTAGAACAGTTTAAGTATCATGTTATAATAGCTAGCACATTATAGTAATACAATACACGTTTTAGGTAACATGGAAAGCAAAGAACCTACAGAATACCCAGACAGTTTATACAAAAGCTACGTCAATTATAATATCACTTTCAAGGGGATTCAACATCTTGTTCCAGTTTCAGCACCCCAAAACTAATTCAGCAGCAGTGGTGGCAGACTTAAGTGCTGTACTGCAGGTATACGTAGTAAAAGGAGAAGGTTCAAAAGCAGTCTGTGATCATTTTACCAAAGGAAGTTATGGCCTTTCCTGTTCTTCCCTGTTTCTTCTGCCCAGGCTTCAAATAACTCCAATGACCTTCCCGTTCTCATCCTTCCTAGGCCTTGACATCATTCTAAACCAGGGGAATATCAGTAGAGGGTAAAAATAAGTCAAGGCTGGCCCAGTAACTCCAACTCAATATGCTGTCCTGCAGTCAAGTTAGTCTGAACAGGAAAACTAAATTTTATCCTGCTGGCATATTTGCATGTTAAATATTCATAATGATGTAGAAATATATCTTCTTTCTACAAAACTTTTCATTTACAGAAAAACTACTCCTGTTTTAAACTATTCTAAACTAGGGCTATATACATTTTAATATTTCTTTATTATGAGAATTACTGCAACAATCTAAAATTCTTGAAAAGATTGAAACTGTTTATCTGCTTTATAGCCAGATACGGTCGAGATTTCTCTCAGAAAGACTATACTCTTTTGATATAAAACGTACTTGACAACTTAATCGCCATACAGAAAGAATCATTTCTATCTATATAAAAGCATGCAATGAAGGCATTTGCTGCACACCACATGGTTGGTTCTTTAATCTACAAAACATTTTGCTTATTATTTCAGATGAGTTCTTCGAAAGGACTCTCTCATTTCCCTCACCTATGCAGACAGTTACTGACTATTTAATCCCACAGAGCTGGGCAGCAAGTCAACTATTTTCAACATTGAATAAAAGGGAACTAGCTCTCATGGTAAAGGCAACTGCAGGATCTATAGACTGCAAAACACATTATGGTTCTTTATTTTATGACTAGTAGACAAAAAACAGAAACAGATGCCATTACCTATATATGCCATTTAATTGTTGATCAATCTCCTGAAGCTTAGACCAGTATTCACTTGCAAGCTTACGGTATTCATCGATAACTAAGGTCTTCAAATTAGGACAGGGGCATTCCAAAGACAGTAGTGCTGAAGGAACTTTATGGAAAAGTCCATTTTTCTCTTCAAAAGATTGTGCTAATGCCTGGAATAAAAATGCTACTCAGTCAACTACTCTGTATTACACTTTCTCTTCAAAAAATTGCTAACTAAACTAGTTAGGAAAAGCAAGGCTTCTCCAAATCTTACTTTTGTTTTAGCTTCTTCAAGCTCTTCTTCCAAAGTCAGACTTTCAAGATTAAGGAATTCCAAAATTGCTTTCTGTTCTTTCTTCACAAAGTCTATCTATTTCATGAAATAGGCAACCGCTATTTTTTTTAGACTGTTATAATATGAAAGCTCATATTTACAAAGAGCCTGATTTCCCGTTTCACAGTGCTGTACATTTACTGATTTTAGAGAAGTAGATTTGCACTGCAGCAAGTACAAAGGCTATTGGATACTCTTACTGTGGATTTAAAAAAAAAAAAAAAAAAAAAAACCCCCAACCACAAAAAACCCCCCCCCAAAACAAAAAAAACCTCAAACCCCCAAAACCTCCCTACCCCCCCACTCCTCCCAAAAACCACACAAAAAACTAAATTAAAACATTAAAAATTAAGTGATCACAAATTGTAAAAGTGAAGTAAAAATACCAACCTGCTGTAACACCTCAACTGGATCGAACTTATATTTCGGACAAGATTCTTCTGAGGGGCAATACTGCGTTTCAGACAGCCTGAATTTCAAATTCTCTCTTAGTTGCCAGATAGGAACTACAGTATTTGTTTGGTATGTTTCCCGCTCCTCTGATAATCTATGTGCTATATCCAAATGAAATATAAAGCTTTCTCAAACACACAAGATATTACACAGCATTGCACTTTTAAGATTTAAGGCCATTGAGAGAGATATTTAAAAACTCACTAAAAATAATCATAAAATAAATTGAAAACTCTTACCCGTGTTCCACATGTCCAAAAAAAAGTCATACTTATGGCTTCCTTCATCAAGAAAAGTCTGTATTTCTGCTTCTGCTTTTTGTCTGAAAGGTATTATAGTGGTTTTTATAAAAGATATTGTTTTTATTCATTAAGTTCTCAAGGACTATAAACTTTTAATACCCAGTCAAAACAAAGATGTTAAGTAAAAAAGGTGATTTTCTGCATGGGAAGGTATGAAGTGCAGAAGCTGGACATGAAGATTGTATGGAAGCTACTCTCCTTTGAGCAAAACATGCTATCATTGATCTGCTGTACATAGGATATGCAAGGCAGTAGATATAAGACAGCAACAGTACAAGCTTTATCTAATTTGCTGCCCAAACCATGATATACTTCTGAAAAATTTTCTGCAGCAGGCCACCAAAATTGTATTGTTTTCAGAAAATTCGGAAATAAAATACGTGCATACTTCATTCAAAAAAAAAAAATCTTCTGCAGCACAAACAAATGCAGTTGTACCAGACAGTTCATTCACCTTTAGTAGTGATCCTCAGAGGCATGAATATTAACTTTTCTTCTTATAACTGTGAACTGAATATGCATATCTGGAGACAGACTGTGAAACTTTGAAGGAATTTAAAAGCATCCAAAAACTGCTGATACTCCCACAAATACAGACTCATCAGATACTGATAGGTCAGCTATACAGCTACAAGACCTTCACGGAGAAATACACGCAGAACGTCATCCACCCTGTTCCTTCGTCGCCTTTATCTGTTTGCCATGTCTACAGACCCCTTTTGGATGTAGGTCACAAACTCTCATGCTCTTCACAGAAATTCATATTCAGTTCAGATATTTTAATCTCCTCCTAGTGTATGTGCCCCTTTTAATCAAGGGCACCACACCAGAATCTTTGGATACTGAAGTATTTCTTTAATAATGCCCAATTAATACTCCTCAGTTCTTACCTATTCTCACTTAGTCTTTTATGCTCTTGCCACCACACTTGCTGATGCTGTTTCAGCAGTGCTTGCTCTTTGTTAATTTTTGAAACTTGTTCCATTTTTTTAACCTAGAGGAGAAATAAAAACTTGTAAGTATTTTAAATCTGTTCCTTAGCTTTATCAAATCCTCTTCATATGGGAACTTTTAACTGTAGAACCCCAAACATAAAAGCTCTTTGCAAAAGCATGTTTTTGGAGAACAATGGGTTCAAACATAACCAATTTTCATGAAAAAAATTACTGCACTTCAAATTAAAATTAAATGAGAAGGAAAAGGGAAAAATGTAGTCTATTCTAACAATTTCTTCTTTCCCTTTTTCTGCTTTTCTTCTCCATTTCTACTCTCCAGGAGGTGAAGGGGTCAGGTAAGTAGAAGAAAAAAAATAAACTTTCTTACAGATAGTAAAGTGAACGAGTAAAAATCTCTCTCTCGAGAAAAGGAATTTCAAAAATTTATTACTGAGAAAGAGTGCTTTTTCAAAATCTCTTCAATTTAAAAGGCTCTGAAATTGCCTGAAGGCTTCACAAAGACTTTGCTTCCAGCTTTAGATATAGTAGGAAGACACTTTTTCAGATAGATGAAGATACTGCTCAAACTAGATGGAAGGCCCTCATGAAAATGGTAGCCAGTTGGCTCTGACCGAACAGCAGAGAAGAAGAAACAGGCAGTCTGCGGCTGCCAGCTGCTCCTATGCCGCATCAGTTCTCCCTTATTCTTATGCCATTGTGATGGTCTCTCAACCCCTCAGTGAATGCTCAGGGCAAAGCAGCATTTCAGTTCAGAATGCCTCAGGTGACACAGGCTTCTCTCCTGCTCCTTGTCTTTTTGCTGCCCAGCTAGCGCCTTCCTCCACACCAACCAACCTCATCCCTTTCCCAGCCAACTTCTAGACGCAAAGTCCTTCTCTGATTCCAGAGGCTCCCACAATTCATCCTCCTTTTTTTTCCCCTTCCCTGACCCTCCTTCATGCAGCTATGATATCTAATGATTCTACTGCAGAATGGTAGCAAGATGGGGAAAAAAGGTAGAAATGCTTGTCTTAGTTCATCACAGTGAGCAAAGAATAAAGATCTCAGTCTACACCTAGTCCAAGAAAGAAACATCATTCGAGTCATAACTGCTAGTTTTCCAACTTGCCCAGCTTCAATAATGAGCTTTTTAAAAATGCTGGGCCAGCTTTCCTACCCAGTGAAAGCTGTGCAAAGCTACACATTTCTCAGTGTGAATTTCTGCATTCACAGGGACAGCATAACCCCTAGAAAGTCTGCTCTCCATTCCCTTCCTCTGTTGGGCTAGTGATGCCAGTAGGCTTCTCAAAGGAGAAAAAAAGCTTTAGAGCACCCCCCCCAAACAGCACTTATGCATAGATAAGCAATAATCAAATCACTTCTAATCAGTACAGCCTCTAATTCACTCAGCAACAAAGTTAAGTCTTTATTTTAAAAGAAAATACTTCAAATTTTGAAACTAGAAATATTATAACCTTTCAAACAAAGCTGAGTTGAATATATATTTAAAAACAAAGCTCCTTTTTACTTTTCCAAAATTATTTTGGAAATTAGTTTCATCACATAAAGGTTATGAACTCATGGTTCATAAATCTAACAATATGTCATATAATCCAATTTAAATGAACAAGCCATGCACATTAATGACTGTTTACTAAGGTGGGAACATTTTGCAAAGTCTGGGCTATAAGAAGGCTTACTAAGGAAAGCTGCTCCAACGTAACACAAAGTGTCACACTCTCTCACTCTTGGGGGAAAGATTTTTTTTCTGCAACACAAGCGGCGTATTGCATCAGACGGAAGGGAAAATAAAGATCTCCCAGCTTCCCCTCAGCTATATAACAGACAGAAGCAGACAACTTTAGAGCAGGTAACGGATACTGTAAAGATCGATCCAGTGCATGTTACCACCATCCCTGGGCCCAGGTCAGTCGCAACGACCTCTTTCAGGTAGGGACACCACACAGACTGAAACACCTGGGCTGGCACTAGGGCCTCCTCCTTCTACAAGTAGGACTCAAAGATAGGAATTGTCAACTACCATCGCCTAGACCTCATAGCACTTTATCTTTAGGAAGCCAAATAAGTTTTATCTCAGGTTGAGAGGGAAGTAAAAAAAAAAAAACACAAAGAGGCAACTATGAAACCAGCATTTCACATCAGTAAAAATTTTGTGAGCTCAGAACCAAAAGGCTGCGAGTTAAAGATTAATAGTACTAGGGGGGGAATACGTTTTATTCACTGTGGAGCTTTCAACACACATGTTTTACTACCTACTCAGTTGAAGGAGACTTGAAGAAGTGAAATACCAAAAGACAGATGATAAAAAATTAGTTTAAAGTTTGAATGAATTCAGCAGAATTTTGATCTGCCAATCAATGAAAAATAACATCTGCCAGAGCTTTTCATTAGTGATACTTGTATAAATTAAAGAAAGTAATACTATAAAGAAAATAAGTCCTTTTATAAGTCCTTTTTTTTAATAAGTATATTCAGTGTCACTTTTTTTTTTTAATAAAAAAAGAGAAGCTGCAGGAGAAAACCCCTTTTTTGGAACCAGCCTTTCAGGATAGTATTGTAAACTAATAAGATATGGTTATTGGTATTGTATATATTCCACTTACTAAGATTTACCAAACAGCATCAGAACGTAGTACAAAAAAATATATGACTATGTTCCTCACCAATATATTTAATTTCATAACTGCTGAATATATTTTAGATAGGAATGTAAAAGAATTTATATTTATTTAAAGTAGAACTTTGCCTTAATTGCATTTATTTAGCAAGTTTCCCTTTAAACTCTTTGCAATCCTGTCTGAATAAAGATCCTGAATCAGATCTTGTACAAGCCAAAGACACCATCTCATCAGGTCCCTTAGAGTCATTTACTCAGGAAAATCTTAAATCATTGCATTCTCTGCCTGCTGCATAGTTTCTGTACTCTTCAGCACTGACACCACCATTCCAAAGGCCACTCACAAGACTAATTGTGCAGACGAACGGGCAAAACTGGAGACACAATAAATGACCATGTTAGCATAGGTTAAGCATATAAAACCTTCTGTTATCCTTACACTGGATTTGCTGTTTCCTAAAAGCATTTAAGTAACACTACCGCTGGAGATGATCGCTTTCAAATTGATCAATTTTTCTCTTCTATTTTGTAACCTAACCCAAAGGAACCATTTCAGCTGAATGCGCGTCAGTGTCAATTTCTTCAAATATTGTTTTTGGTGAACCTGTTTTTTTTTTGAATCATGTAGCACTCAGTGAAACAGCTATATACTAAAAGCAGTTCTACTCTCACAACGAGTTATGACTCTGCAGTATGTCTGAATCAACATTTTACACTATTTTCAAACAACTAATAAGAAAAAGAGAAGCAACACATGCTCTGGACGGAGAGATTGGAGCCTTCTCAGGCATTCATGTTTAATTCCCAAGATTAAAAAAAAAATGCTTAAAAAGTAGTTTCTTCCTAAAGATGACAGCTGACAGTTTGACATATACCCTCCTTCAGGGAAAGTATTTTTTCTCTGGGCAGTTCTTACTACTACAAATGTAAGTAATATCTGGACATCCTCCTAGATCTAAGAATAAAAATGTTTATTCCCCTTCACCGACAACTAGTTGCAATATAGAAGTATTTAAGCAGTCTAATGTAAAAATTCCCATTTCTCAACCATCCTATTAAAAATAATAAGTCCAACAGTTTAAATTCCATTGCGGCTTAATGGTGCATAATAGGCTGTATGGAAAAAACTTAAACTCATTATGAACAGGTATCTAAGAACTTTTCTGAAGGCAAACATATAGAGACTAAAATATTTTATTTTCTGCCTGCCACAAAAGAAGAAACAAACCATTTAACATACAGCTAGATGAGAACTAAGGTGAGCCAGTCTTCTCATGCGTTTGGGTTTGTTACTTAAGGAGCTATTTCATAGAAGTATTCCAAGTTTCCCGTACTGATTTGTAGGTAATGTTGAACACAAACAGAACCCCCCTACCCCACCACATTGTCATATACCACAAAAAACAAACAAAAAACAATCAGTTCTTCAGTGTTCTTTGTAACAGAGACTGATATAACCCAGGATATACATATTCATAGAGGACACACTGGGAAGCAACATACAAAGACACCCAATCACATTATCTCTACACGGTTACCTCAAGTTAACAGGACTTCCTAGCTTCAGTTCAGGACTGGTTTTTACCAGATCAGGTCTGACTGCTGTCAGAGCCATTCCCATTCCCCGGTTCCGTAGGTCTCCGAGTTTGCAGGACTGACCTATTCGGATTGCTATTGGCATGGTGTTACATAGCAGCTGGGCAATCTCGCCGGAATCTACAGTGCAAGGATGTATCAGGAGCCAGCCCAGGTCCAGCGGGAAGAGTGCTGAATGCAATCTTCTCCTAGGGCCAGAAGTGTGCCATGAAGGCGCTTGCATGGCACCACACACTATGAAGAGGTCCAACAGGACTTACCAGTTTACCCATCGTGCTACGTGAAAGCTAAACTATTTCTTAAAGACATGTGCCTCCAGAGGCACATGAACAGCTGCATTTGTGCAGCACTGAACCTAAGCTAATAAACCAAGCCAAATCCAGCTCTGCTGACTATATTACTGGCAAAGGTAAACTGCAATCCAGATAAATTACACACAGGCAACTGACAGTTGACATGATAGAGCATTGTATGCAGCAGTTCTGCTTTTAAATGTGACCCAAAGAAGTAACACCTTGATTAGCAAGCTTACATCCTGCGTGTTTAAAATAAGATCTTGCTTGCTACTGTGAAAAAGCACATTTTTGTTCTTGTCTATGCAAAACCAAGATCCTTTTGGAAGAATTTTTTTTTTAATAAAGTCTCTTTTCAAAGCAGTGATATGATTTTAGCATTATGTTGAATAAAAAAATAGGGAAAAATTTTGATGGAAAGGAATAAGAAAGAAACAAAATATGATTTTGCTTTGAAGTACCTTTAGATTTTTGGTAGAAAACAACAAAAAACAATTTTTATTCTTGTAACTGTTTTTTCCACACAAGTTTCCATAACTACCCAGCTTTCACTTGCCTAGAGGTAGTTTAAAGCTAAACAAATTGCTATTGATCCATATATGAGTTGTTTATCTGATATCAAGTCTGATACCAAGTTGTCGGATTTCATTTATCCGTTATGTAGAGATATCTCAACATCAGTGAGTAAGTTTAATATTGCACCTAAAATACTTTACAATTTTTTACTCCTTTAGGTTTTCTTTTAGCCTTTTTCTATATTATCCAGTGTTTTATGACCCTCATCATTATATTAACTAAACAGTATTCTAGAATTAGCCATATCTAACTTATATCTTAATCCTTCCTACTCTTTCTTTACATTTTCTCTAATATTAGTTCTTTCTTCTACAAAGCTAAAACTCTGTCATAGTACGTTTGGCATATGCCTAATGAAAATGATGAATCGAAGAGCTACCAGCATTCACCCAGTTCTCACCCATATTTAGAGACTGGTCCTCACCTTTCATTTACTTTCCTGCTTTTACAGGAATTTCTCTTTTTTTATTCTAATTACCTTGCCCATCACCGAGTTAAGACTTTGGGTCTGTCACTACCTAGACTGTGTGTTTCCATTCCTGCAGTTATTAAAAGTCTCTGAAGGCAGATTTACAGAAGATACTATTATGCAAAACTGCATTACTGGATGGAGAAAATTTGGTATTTAATCTTCTTTCCAGTTTGACGGCACTGAGCTTTGCTTCTTTCACACTAATTTCTATTAGACACACTGTTGTGTCCACACATAAAAGAAAAAATTTTCATTAAATTAATAATAAATAGACTACCTTTTTATTTACCCTTTGGGCCACAGCACAGCCATTTATCCCTTTCTAACTGCCTACCTCTGCATACACAATATGGCTATAAAACCCTTTTAATTTGCTTTTCAAGATCTAACTCAACTAGACTTTTGGAAGTATTCACTTCATATCTATATTTTTTGGCTTGCTTTCTTTCTTTCTGGATCAACCCCTTTTCCCATTCATTCCTCTAAGTTCTTCATACTCCCGATATCTTGAATGGGTTGTGTAACAAGTTCAGATAAATTTGTTCAAAGTACTCCACTATAAGCTTTTCCTGTCTTTTTGGGAAGCAGATTCTCTATATATTTTGCATCTCTGACTTAAAAAAAAATTCCACAGTTGGACATTAAAGTGTCCAAGTCAAAATAACACTAATTGATAAACTTGCTTATCTTTTACCCTCATGAACATAGTTACAGCAGGTTGTTATTCCTACTCATTCTCAGATTCCTTGAGGCTGCAAAAAGAAATATGATCATTATACTTAAAAAAACAAAATTCACATTAGAATTAAAAAATAACAACATACCTTTAACTGAATTTTAGTAGATGCCTTTTTTTCTTCAGTGGCAAGTTCATATAGATGTTTATAGTCAATAGGTTTGTACCTCTGGCTGCAAAGACCATGTCTCATAGGAACCACTAGATTTTCTAGTTATCAATAAAAAAGTCATTTAAAATCTGGAGAAATACTTCAAGTATAAATCATAAAAAGAAAACATTAGATATAGAAATTAGAACCAATATATTTTAAACCCTAAAAGATTCTATGACAATAAGATTTGTAGTTGATGAATAAGAATTGAAAACAGCTGTAAGCTGGCAGAAATGACAGAAGAACCTTTATTCATTTGCTTATTTATGAAAAGTTCACTGGAAACCGTTATGTTTGCAAACACTAAATGTAAGCTTAAAGAAAATGCAGTTTAAATTGTTTTTTCTGGAATTTTAGTAAATTCCTATACAGAAGTATATGCATTCCAATATATGCATTCCTGTTTCACAAACTGGAAACCTACTCCGACATTACAATCTACAGACCAAGCATTTTTCATTTACAAGCTATATAAATTACTATTTACATATAAACATAATGAGTTGCAGTGGAAAACAAGTTATTGCAGTTACATTTCTGATCAAATCTCCAACCATAAGGATAGCATAACTTTTCTATTGAACTTCCAGAGAAGCTCTAGGGAAAACGATGAATTTCCTTAAAACAAAAGCACTAAACTTCAAGGAAAACATCATAATTAGTTTCTGTTGCATACAGTACAGGTTATAATGTTCACTTTCAGGACACCAATCATCAGTATTTGAAAGATTATGACAGTGTTGAAAGACTATTGTCCAAAAAACCCAAAGGAAATAGTTTTGCTGAAAAAAGCATTTGAAGTCAATAAAAATTTAACCAAGCTAGTCTTTAGTCATGAAGTATCTCTTGAATCTTTAAGAAGTTTTACCAAGGGACTGCCATACTTCCTAAACAATAATTTCCTTAAATTTACTGTGGAGTCCTACTTTGAGTTAATGTGCCTTTATTTCTTTTCTCCCTCTCCAGCCAACGATAAATTCCACCATTTCATGGTCACTTTAATCCAAGGCACATTATATATATACACTTAAAACTGGGTAGGGTGAGGACAGAAGACCAGCAGCCATATGAGAACAAATCAAGAAAATCTAGGCTGCAAAACCCGTCTGAACAAGATTGGTCAACAGAAAAGGAGAGAAACAAGCTTAAGGAAACCTCAGATAAATAGATGAATAATATTAATCAATAGATTTTCCTGATTTGTTGGCCTGCAACAGACTCCCATTAAAACAGCACTTTGTTTGTCTTCCCCTCTAATCATAATCCAGTTTCCACAGGTATTCCCTTTGCAGTTTCTGCTCTCTGAACTCAAAAGCATATGTCTCCTACATAGAGGAAGACTGCCTTTTTTTTCATGCTTGTCAATCCTAAATAACATATGTTCTTCCACATTAATCTCATCATGTGAATTATCCCACCAAATCAGTGTTATGCCAGTGAGGCTGTAGTTTTGATCTTGTACTAAGAATTCGTTTTTATTCTCTATATACCTTACATGAAACATGTTCAGCAGACTGACCTGCAGATTTCCTCCCTTTTATCCCTCCTATAAGCCTAGCATAAATAGCCTCCTCTGCTATTTTTTAGACCTTTAGGTAACTTTGTTTATCTGTGGGCTTTTGTACCAGTCAATCCAAATTTAAGTCCTCATCCTTAAGTTAGCAAGATATTATGTGAAGATGGTTTTTCCCTTCTTCCCAAGGTGGATGACAGCATTGTCTGGCAGGCCATGGAACAACACTCCCTGTTCAAAGAAGCAGAAGTTCAGTAGCCAAACACTCTGAATAACCATTCACTCAGTTCTTCCACCTAAGCCTATTACTCCTCCATTACGGCTCCCAAAGCCTCATAATCAATTCTAGTCTGCAACGAATCATTTGTGGCAATAACATTAGTGTCCACATGCACGAGCAGCAGGGTATGGCAGGAGAGAGTCAGGCTGAGCTTCAGAATGATTCCATATCATTTCTAATTCAGGCTCCCTGTGGGCATTTCAGCTGGGAGAGAAGTCAAGTTAGCAGATGTATCCTGTCATATTAATTAGAAAAGAGTCAGTAGCTGCTACTAGTACTACTAAATGACATTAACTGCCGCTAGAAGTTGTTAACTACAAACTCTGTATTTCTTCTTTTGGAGTAGTACTTGTGAATCTCATGATCTTTGAAACACATGACGATACAAACTTTTATTTTCCACCAGAGAACCTTACTTACTTCCAGGATAGCATAGCATGATACAGGTGAGCAACAGAATGAAGGTGGGACACCATTGTCTTCCACAGGAGAAAGACCTAAATTCCTTCCTGCAGTCCCTATAGTAACTGATGCAGACCTAAGAACCTACTTGTTCTGTTTTTGGAGATGCATCCTAATGACAAAGTCCTCATACTACCTCCAGCTTTCAGTCTTGCCACTCCTCCTTCAGCTAAGGAATCAGAAGTTATTCCTAAATCACTTTGCTAGCATGAAGCTCTCACAGCAACCATATTTCTCTTTCCAGCCCTAGAAAGTATAGGCCATGCTCCCGAAAATCCAATCTAGAATTGTGGTATAAATGCCCCATGTCAGGAAGCCTATCCAGATACGGCATTCAAAATTGCAATATTCTGACCATTTGTGTTCTGCCTGCATCAGCACTCTCATCATTAAAGTATTCCACGAAATTAGTTTACTGTCCCCAATTGTCAGCTCTTGCTTACCACTAGCTTTTAAGCCCAGCTTTCTCTGTGCCAGCCAAACAAAAAAGTTTGCTGCAATGTGTGAATCGTTGCCTTACAGAATTGTTTCCAAAAGTCTCAGTTTTAATTGGGCAACACAACCTGATGTTATCTACACTCCTAAAAAATGTTTTATATAAAACTAATACCTATAGTTACGTATAGAACTAAAGTAAGAGAAGGTAGCAATGCAACAGCTCTTCCTCAGGTCACACATCTTCACCAACCTAAAAACGCCCCTCCCATCTAAGAAAAAAAGTCAGAAGGGTAGGAAGACAGTTTCAGTTTCCAAATCTCTAACCCAAATTCATTTACTTTCATCTTTACTTTCCATTTGCTTTCTTTCCTTTAGCCTGAACCTCCTCCTGAATCTCCGCTGCTAATTTTTGTCTGTTTCATCTACTGAGGACTTTGTTTTGAGGAATCTTCTAAAGTCAATGTGGTTTACCCATGTGAGATTAAGCTCCAGAATTAGTATCTTAGCATACT